TGAAATTGCTGCTTCCCTCCCCCTTAACCAGATGTATTTAGAAATAGTAGCGGAAACTGACACCTGGGGTAACTTTATCATTCAAAACGAAGCTTCCGTGTATATATATAAAAAACCTGCTGACATGAGGGCAGTACTTGATAGGCCTTTGACTCTGTCAGTGTCAGGGGTTAGCAGGAAACAAAGCCTAGGCCAAGCCAGGCTTCAGCAAGAATGAAAGCAGATAAAAAACCCTCCCTTCTCATTCTCAGGTTAGCCCTTTAACGAGCCATCCAAAAAACATGCATTCAAAGCAATGATCCTGTAAACTCCAGAATAAGAAGTAAACCATCAGGAATATATAATGTAACAAGCAGCTGGGTTTTTTTATTCTGATTTTATTGTTATTATTGGGAAGCAATATTTTTAACTGTAAAATTCACCTTCTAATCCTTAAGCTCGTGATATGACAGTGTCAAATATGAGGGGATTTTGTGATTCTCATTACTGTTATGCATTGTTCTTGACTAGTATTCCATATTAATATTTATAAATGGCATAAAAATAGTTTTTATGGAAATAGGAGGCCCCAAACCCTATTTTTTATATTATTTTCAACATACAAACATTACATCCAATATAGTTGATTACATTTTAGAACAAAAATGATTTTGCAAACAATCCACTTAATGCTGGTTAGGGTTGTTGTGGGTGGTGGTGTGGGGGGGGGGGTTGTGTGTGTGTGCGCAGAATGAAAAGCTGCAGATATGATCTTTTTACTAGTGTTCGCACAAACGGTATTCAAATTATAAAGAATAAAGGAATGTTGATTGCAATGCAAGAGTGATATCAGACAGACATGAAAATACAAACAGGAAGGAAAGTGTGTTTGAATTCCAAAAAGTGTATACCTAAAATAGCAAGAAAAGAAACAAAGTCAACAATCAAATGGAGTTTGGTAATTAACCATTGTCTTCTTGGGAGGAATTTGAATAGCTACCGGCCTCCTGGTGATTCTATTCTTTTCCAGTGTGAATTCTCTTATGAAAGAGAAACATTGGGAATTGGCTGCCTGAGAATAGATATATTATTAGTAGACAGTAGCCATGTTTTATAAAGAGGAAGGATGGTTCAGTGGTTAGGGCTCTAGCATGGGTCTTGGGAGACCTGCGTTCAATTCCCTTTTCCACCATAGACTTCCTGTGAGATCTTGGACAAGTTGCTTAGCCTTTGTGTGACTCAGTTCCCTGCCTCTAACGTGAGGGTGGTAATACTGTCCTAACGGGTGCTATGAGGAGAAAGACTAACGATTGTGAGATGCTCAGATACTGCAGGGATGTGGGCCAGATGCGGATCATCAGTAACATAGAAGGAAGTCAAATCTGTGAAACCATTACTCAAGTATTCTGCTGAAACAATAGCTTTGATCCATTTTTTGAAGGGGGAAAACCAGAGTGAAGTTTTTCTTGAAGCAGACAGTGTCAGAGTTGGACACGTTCCCTTCCCCTTTCTCCTTCAGAAAATAAACGTTTGGAAGATGGAACCCGAAATAGGTTTCTGTGAGGATATATTAGCTGTCCCTTGCGTGCATGCCCCGGATTGGTGCTGAGGGTTGCCATGAAGGAGCATGCTGGATTGGCAACGTAGTGTCTGAGCACCCTGATTTTGGCATCTTGTGACTGCAGGACAGAGCATGCCAGACTGGTGTCATAGGGTTGCCTATGACTAGCTGACTGAGCATGCTAGATTGGCATGATAGGTTTGTCATGTGCACACTGCCTTGGGGGTGTAGTGTTGGACTGAGCATGCTGGGCTGGGGTTGTCGGGTTGTTGGTGAGTGCTGGGCTGCTGGCATTCAGTTGTTTCAAGAGTGCTGTTTATGCATTTATTTAAACAAGTGCCTCAAACGTTACATGCAAACACATGAAGATAAAAGGGTAAAACCCTGGGCTCTTCCCAACCTTCATCATTAGTTTAGTTGGGAGTTTGTACTGAGCTAAAAGGAAATGGATGTCTTGGCTTCGCGTGGCTCCATAGAAATCAAAACTACCTGTAACCCAGCTCCAAAGAAACACAGGTCTAGAAAGACTGTGATGATGGCAATGATCATTTGACCCAGGCTGTGACAATGTCCAGAAAACACCTGTATTGTGTGAAGCAAAAGGCCACATGTACTAGCGATGGATGAACTTCCGAAAATTGCTTTGGACTCAAATAATCACCCCAAAATGTGGGTGCTTCCCAGAGTCTGTGGTGGCTCCCATCTCCTTGACCTCATCCCTCCTAGCACAGGACACTGTCTCTTCCTCCAACTCCCTCTGCCTTCTGTGATGGATCTTCACAGAAGCTTCCTTCCAGCTCCAGGCCTGTGGGAAAACTTTCTCCCCCTTTGTTTATGGGGTTTGGGTGTGTTGGCTCCTCCTAGCCCAGCACCCACTTGCCTGAGTCCTGCAGATCTCTTTCTTCAAAAACATACAGCTAGCTGGGGTTTCCCTGCAGCTTGCACCCCAGAGTGCAGTGTGTATGCATGTACACAGTCTGAAAGTTTCATCTTCACATGGCAGCCTCTAATTTCCCAGGGATGGAGGCTAGGGGATCTTGTGACCTACAAGCAAGCTGTGTGTTCTGGGGTGTATATTGTGAAGGAAACCCCAAATTGCCTTTGTAAGGCACTGGTGAGCGTGTGTTGCAGGTCTCCCTCTGTGCCCAAGCACAGAGGATATGAGCTTGTTACAGCCTTATCTAGGGAAGTGTGTCTCTTTAGCTCACACTGATGCCATGCATGCTGTCAGCTCTGGAGGTGGCCAGCGAAACCCCTGGTGTATCTGTCAGCTGTCACACCTTTACACGTTGAAAGGCTGAGACCACAATAGTATCTCTCTTGCCTGCAGAGAGTGAAGAGGACACATGGGTTTCTCCCCAAACCCCAAGCCCCCCCCCCCCCTTTCAGATGAGAAAGGAGGTTTGTGATGTCCACTGGCTGGACGTCTCAACTGAAGTGGGAGGAGACAGCAGGACAGTCAAGCTTCTCCCTAAAGGGGAAAGACCCAGCATTAGAGAGTGAAACCAGGCCCCCTCCACTCGGTTCGAGAGGCCCTGCCACTGCCAGGTAAGGAACTGGGGGAGGAGGTTGCTCTGAGTTCAGCTGAGTGTGCTGGGAAAGTTTTGCTTTTTTACAAAATGGGAAGGAAAAAAATCTCCAAACCCTCCAATCTGGGGTTTCGATTTTTGTACAAAATCCTTTGCAGGCCAGTAATCATCATCATAAACCTGAATGGTTTCCATGCAGCGTGTCTGTGTGGGTTCCAAATGAGCACCTGGGGGGAATCCCAACAACCCCCGCCATGAGGCAAATCCACGCTCAGACTGCGTTACAGCCGTGGCTGTCACTGGAGATACTGAACCAGTTCAGTTCTGGAGGAGCGTTACATGGCTGTATTACCAGATATTAGCCAACGTGAGCCCATTTCGGGTCACAGCAGATCTCAGATAAGTGAGATTTGGGTAAACTGAGGCTATCGCATGTGGGCTCCTCACTACTTTCACATCTCCATATAACTCTGACCCTCCCTACCTATCGCTCCGTGCTGAGCCTGGCATTGTCACCCCACCCGCACTCTGACATTGATCCCATCCTTGTTCCCCTGCTTGTCCGTGCCATCACCTCCGTGCATTTCTCCACACAGCCCCCTGTGTGCGGTACCATCTCCCTGTGCTTATCCTGAAGGCCCCAGCCATGTCCACATTAAAGCCGCCTTTGACACCCTCTTCTCCAGTGCTGCCTACTGTGAATATAGCTGATGTATAAAAATCCCCTATTTGTTGTTCTCCTTCCCTTCACCTGTCTCCCTAACAAGTCTGTCCTTAGACTATGAGCTCCTGAGGGCAAGGACCGTCCCTTTTATATCGTGGGCATCGTCGTAAATAAATAATGACTGAGGTTGTAAGTCAGTGTCAGGTACCTTAGAAATACAGAGACTAATCGTATTGCCTGAGTGTTGGAGGGACAAGACATAAGTACTCTCTTACAGTTTCCGGCTCTCGCTCAGTTGTTAATTTGAATCTTTTTTAATCTGAAGTAAAATTGGGTTTACCGATGGATTTGGATTAATCAGATCTGAAAGTACCTGGAAAGCCAGTAGACAGTTAGAAGAATTAACTTTCAGTGCTCCAAAAAGCGAAATATAATGGAAACTGGAATGGCTGTGGGAACCGATCTCTTGAATGACATTCTGTGTTCTGTTCAAACAAAACAAAACAGCCTGCGTGCACCCCCTCCCCCAAATACATTACATAAAACAATGCAATCTTCTTGGGAAACTTTTTAAAGAACCATTCCTGGGAAAAGATTTTTTTCCCCCCATATTAACAAGTTGTTACTCATATTTAAAACTTCTCTCTCTCTCTCTCTCTCTCTCTCTCTCACAGGTCATATGTGGATAGAATTTAACATGCCAGATCAGAGAATTGAACCATCTAGCCCAGTATTCTGCCTCGGGCAGTGGCCAGTACTTGATACTTCAGGAGAAGAGAAGCATTCCCTCCCCGATAACTTATGCAGTGATGCTGTCTGTGGAGGATCAGTTTACACCCTGAAGCAGGCGCGTTGATTACTCTTATTTTAGCTTACCTTCCATAACAGCAATTGTTATGGTCACCAGTGTAGCCAAACCTTATTTAAATCTATTCACAGCATCTGGGTTCTTCTGATGGGGGAGTCAGGTTGCTAGCTCACGGGAGGGAGGGTAGGGATGCATTTTTATCACTGGACTCGAGGAATAAATGATGCCCACAACTTCTAGGAACTGCAATCTTAACTCCCCCAGCCCTGCAATGGAAACTTGTCTCATAGCATGGCTTGCTGAGTTAGTGGTGAATAAAGCCCCTTGCAGCCCATTCACTTTGATGCTATGTAACCTTTGAGGCTCCGTTTGCGGTGTGCCCCCGTACATTACAAGTCACCCACATTTACCTGAAATGATCTTCAGACCTGCGGCATGTCTTTTTCTCCCAATAGATGCTGCTATTTGGCACTGCTCATGAATCTGCTTTTGCAGCTTGCCCAACTGGTTTGTAGTTTCTAGTGGCCAGAGATGGCCTAGTTGAACCAGGAGGTGAGAAAAGAAAACATCAGTATACACGAAGGATGAGATTTTGGGGAACTGGGTCTCCAAATCCTTTCAGCAGCTTTGAAAAGGTAAGCTTAATATTTAATTGCTAGGTAGAATCCACTGTCGTGATAGTAATGGAATGGCGGTGTTAGATGGGGATGGGAAAGTACAAGCGTGGATTTGAAAAGCCTTTCCCTAAGGAAAACTGATGCCCCGTTTTGGACAGCTTTCCTTCCTGCTTCCTCTGCTTATCATTCGTTCCACCTATTCATAAAAGGGACTGAAGCAAAACAGAGGCCTTTGTGTTACTTGCTGGCTGCCTTAATGAGAGGGGAGTTTCAGAATTGGGGAGTGGGTGTGTGTGCTCACATGCCATGGTATGAATGCCTAGAGGAGGGGGTGGGAGTGGGGAATAACAACTGGGTAACTGAAGAAGGAAATCAAAAGGGAACTTTGTGACCAAACTGTCTCCTGCAAAACTTGGCCCTGACTAAGATCTCATGCAGGTTTCACAGTGTGTGTAACCCCCTTGACTTCGGTAGAGATATTCCTGACTAACACTGGTGTACTTGAAATCAGAATCAGGCTCATTATGAGCAAAATTGTAGGTATAGCTGGTAACACCACCAACAGCTAGGGTTTTCTAACACTTTTCATCATAAGACCCTGTTTTCAGTTGCTTTTAACATTCCCAACCTTGTCCATGCTCAGTGTCTGCCTCTGGCTGAGTTACTTTTATTTATTTATATATATTTATTTATTTAAAGTTTCAGCTAAGAGAGTTCAGCTGTTGCTCAGAGCAAAGCTCAGGGAAAATATGTTTAAAAATTCTCGCTACTGTTTTGCTGACAAGCGCTATCTCCTCCACGCTTTGGAGCGCCCGGGCTTGAAATTTGGTAGAGGGGTTGCCCTTGTGTCAGCGAAGTGCTTTTCGCATCCTTGTAGAAATCTACCCATATTTGGCCAAATTATGAGCTTTTAAGTAGAGCTTTGTTAAAGTTTGACAGATAAATTCTCTGCGGATTGTATCCACACTGAGCATGCTCCGCCCCTCCCCAGGGGCTACAGGGGATGAGCAGGATTTTCCTCAGTTGCACCTCCTGGCAGACAGGGGCTACTGTGGCACCAGGAACTAAGAGCAGAGAGTCTGTCGCTCCATCCTGTGCTCTCAATTCTCCCACTGCTGGAAGAGGAGACCAAGGAAGCTCGCAGAGTGGAATACAGAGGGGTGAGGAGTGGAGGTGGGGCACAAGCTGCAAAGAAACAATCTGTGAGGTGGGGTGGGGCAGAGCATGCTCAGCCTGGATGCAATCTACCCCACACCAGGGGTACCTGCTAGGGGACAAGGGCAGAAGGGGGCAAGTGTGGGGAACAGGGAACGAACCACATCTGTAACCACTGGAGACTCCACATCAGAACCTGGAATAAAGCACAGGACTCCTGAATCTCAACAGTCCTCTGCTGTGACACCCACTCACAAAGTGTCTTGTCACCTTCTAGTAGTAGGTCCACATACAGGGTAACAGCCTACTGCTGCTACCAGCTATTCCATTAGATCAAGAACTAGAGGTTTTGCTGTGGATCTCTAGATTCCAACCCTTCTGATAACGTTGTAGGGATTCAGTATTGTTCCACATGATGGAATTTCTGTTTCTTCTTTGGGTGCCTTCTCATGTCCATTCCATATTAGGTGTGTGTGCTCGCCACATACACCAGTGCTGGAAGTTTTTCCCTCAGCAGTATCTGTAGGGGACCGGCTCTGGCGCCCCCTGCAGGGTGCTCATGGTATAAGGGGGCACCACTGGCTCCCCCGACGCTCAGTTCCTTCTTGCTGTCAGTGACGGTGCTGGAACATCGGCTGCTTCGGCTAGCAGTGTTTCGTTTTATGTTCTTGTGAACCTTGAAAACCTGTAATATAGTTGTTAGTTTCTTAGTTACCCTTAGCAGTAATCATCAACTTTTGGTTAGTCCCAAATGGGACTCAGCCAGGGGATGGGGCATGCCCTGTACCCAGGCTTTAAACCCTGCGATCGCTGCAAATGATCCACATATCACATAAGGTGATCACCTTATATCATCAGTGATCCACATATCACATAAGGTGCTTAGGCCAAGGGCACATAAGTGACAAGTGCCATATCTGCAAGTCCTTTAAACCTAGGATGAAGAAGGAGCGCGATATCCACCTGAAAGTGCTCCTGATGGAGTCGGCACTCACTCCGGCACCGGAGGAACAGTCCGTCTCTGCACTGAGCACCGGGGCCTCCATGTGCAGTGCTCCGCCGGCGCTGTCCATGAGCCAGCACCGGCCCCCATCCACGGCTCCGGGGAAGAAGCGGAAAAAGAGGGGGAGGGGAAGATCTCTCACCTCCCATAGGGGCAGGAGAGGGCTGGGGGTGAGCCACAATCTGTGCTAAGCAGCTCAACACCCCCTTTGGGAAGTCGGACCCCATCTCAAATCGAGAGGTGCAGCCCATCCCATGCTTCGCCTGTGATCCTGGATAACAGTGCAGGCCCTAGCCAGCTTCAGATGCCATCGATGCCCAAAGCTCTTTGGGCAGCTCAAGAGATCTTGACGCTCCCCGTGCTGCCCACACCAGCTCCCATGGTACCCCAGTCTCGGGGAAAGCCCGTGTTGGGACCTATGCATGTGTCCCTGCCTCAGCGGTACTGATCCCCATCAAGAGGGACGTCCTGCCAACATTCACTCGCTCGAAGCCGTCACACCTCAGGACTGGAGAGGCAGGCTCTATGGAGCCCTCTTTGGTCCCCACACCGGACGCATTGATCGAGGGACTCGAGGTGTACCTTGCCAGTAGATTGGTGCAGACCCTCTGAGGCATGTGCCACCCGGCAAGAACTCTGGGACCGGCCCCAACTGTCTCCAAGGGCCCAATACTGATCCCGGCACTGATTGGACACCAGAGACCACCGGCCACCTGGCTGTCATCGCCTTGTCTCCAAGACGGAGGTCGCCCTACTCAGGATGATCCTCCCAGCAACTGACCCATAGTTTCCAGTCCCATTCAGTGTCCTGGTACTGATCGAGTAGCATGAGGTGCGGATTGCTGGTATCTGATGCAGATCTGCTGAACCAAGACAGTCTTGCTTGGACAGGTTGGCTTTGGGACACAGTGACCGGCATTGGTTGGACAAGAGCCACCGCTCAGCCTGATCCTGGTTGCCTGGGACCAATCACTCCACTGGTAGCTCCAACTTGGAGCAAGGTTCCCTGCCTGCGGGAGAAGCCCCGGTACTGGCAGTGCCAACTACATTATTGTCTCAAGTCCAAAGGGATGTTGCAGTGCTTCAAGCCATGTGCTGCTCTCTGGGCCTACTGGTGAACGACAAAAAGTCAACGTCAGTGCCAGTGCAGAGGATAGAGTTCTTCAAAGCGGTCCTCGACTCTACCTGCGCCAGAGCGTTCCTGCCGCTGGAAAGGTTCCACACGCTGGCGAACTTCATCGCGGAAGTCTCCACGTCCCCTCTGACTACAGCCAGGGTCTACCTGCACCTGCTGGGCCACATGGCAGCGTGCACTTACATGGTCCACCATGCCAGGCTCTGGATGCAGCATGGTGGCGACTATCTATTCCCAGTTCCGAGACCCTCTGGAGAAGATCATTACCATCCCCCAGGCAATAGAAATCTCAATGCGAAGGTGGACCGACTGCAGGACAGTTGTGGAAGGGGTTCCATTCGACAACCCTCCTCACTCCATTGAGTTGGTGTCGAACACCTTGGACCTCGGTGGGGGGCACATATCAGCATCCACCAGACACAGGGGATATGGTCCCTGGAGGAGGCACGGTTACACATAAGCGTCAAAGAGCTCTGAGCGGTCCGGCTGGCATGTGGAGTCTTCTTTCCCCACCTGTCAGGCAAGGTGGTACGAGTCTTAACGGACAACACAGCCTCGATATTCTACATCAACAGGCAAGGGGGAGTGCTCTCGTCGGCTTTCTGTCAAGAGGCACTCCGTCTGTGGGACTTCTGTATCAGCCACGAAATTCACTTGGAAGCTTGTCACCTTCCCGGTGTCAGGAATATGCTGGTAGACCAGCTCAGCAGGGACTTCTCCTCTCACTACGAGTGGTCGCCCCATCCAGAGGTAGCCTGCATGATCTTCCTGAGGTGGAGAACTCCCCAAGTGGACCTATTCGCTACCAGACAGAACAGGAAATTCCACCGGTTTTGTTCTCGACAGGTTCTGAGCAAGGTCTCCCTCCCTGATGCCTTCCTCCTGTCATAGTCAGAAGGCCTGATGTACGCATTCCCTCCAATTCCTCTCATCAGCAGGGCCATGGCAAAGATCAAGGTTATCATGATCGCCCTGGCGTGGCCTCACCAGCATTGGTTCGGCATGCTCATGAGCCTGTCAGCGGCCCCTCCCTAGCCCCTACCCAACCAACTGGAGCTGCCGTCACAGGACCATGGTCAGCTCTTACACCCCAACCTTGGATTCCTCCACCTCTCGGCATGGATATTGTGTGACTGAACCCGGAGGAGCAGAGCTGTTTGGAAGGAGTCCAGGAGGACCTGTTGGACTCCTTCCAAAGTAGGAAGCCCTCAACTAGACTGTCTTACCTGGCCAAGTGGATGAGGTTTTCCCTCTGGGTGTCAGAATGGGACATCTCTCCCTCATGTTCCGCCATACAGGAACATGGACTATTTGCTCCATTTGAGGAGCCAGGGTCTGGCGCACACTTCCATTAGAGTGCATCTTGAGGCCATCCCCACTTTTCACCTGCCGATCCAAGGACAGACGGTATTCTCCCATGACATGAAGTTCAGATTCTTGAGAGGGTTGCAGAGATTCTTCCTGCAGGTGCAGGCTCCTGTCCCACGATGGGATCTTAATTTGGTCCTCTCTAGGCTCACTGGCCTGCCCTTTGAACCTCTGGGGTCCTGCTCCCTTTCCCATCTGTCATGGAAGGTCACGTTCCTGGTGGTGGTGAAGTCAGTGAGATAGGTCTGAGAAATTAAAGCCTTGACCTCAGAACTGCCTCGGTCTTCTACAAAGATAAGGTTCAGTTGTGGCCCCACCCAGCCTTCCTGCCAAAGGTGGTCTCCACCTTCCATATGAACCAGGACATCTTCCTTCCGGTGTTCTTTCCCAAACCACAAAAAACCAGTGAGAAGAGGTGTCTTCACGCCCTGGATGTCTGGAGGGCCTTGGCTTTTTACTTAGAACGTACCAAGCCTTTCCGTAAATCGACTCAACTCTTCATCGCTACAGCGGATAGGATGAAGGGTCATCCGGTGTGCTCGCAGAGGATTTCCAATTGGATCACCTCATGCACAAGGACCTGTTACGACCTGGTGGGGGTTCCACTGTCGCCGATTGTCAGAGCCCACTTGACGAAAGCTCAGGCATCTTTGGTGGCCTTCCTGGCACACATCCCTAACCAGGACATCTATAGAGCTGCAACGTGATCCTCTGTCCACACATTTACCGCTCATTACACTATCACTCAGCAGGCCAGGGACGATGCTGGGTTCGCCAGAGCTGTGTTGCAATCTACACGTCCGTGAACTCCTACCCACCTCCAGGGGTACTGCTTCGGAGTCACCTAATGTGGAATGGACATGAGCGAGCACTCGAAGAAGAAAAGGCAGTTACTTTTTCTGTAACTGGTGTTCTTTGAGATGTGTTGCTCATGTCCTTTCCATGACCCGCCCTCCTTCCCCACTGTCGGAGTTTCTGGCAAGAAGGAACTGAGGGTGGCGGGAGCTGGCGGTGCCCCTTATACCGTGCCATGCATGCGCCATTCCAGGGGGCGCCAGAGCTGGTCCCCTACGGATACTGCTGAGGGAAAAACTTCTGGCACCAGCGTATGTGACGAGCACACACACCTACAATGGAATGGACGTGAGCAACGCATCTCGAAGAACACCCGTTATGGAAAAGGTAACTGTCTTTTTTGGCTTTTTAGTCAACTTAGGAAACTACATGAAAAAACCCCTACATTAAAAGAACGCGACGGTTGCAAAAGGCAAGCGCTCAAAAGTTAGGATATGTCAGTAGTCAGGTTTCTTGTGCAATCTTAATTTGACCGCCCTGTGCATATGCATTATGATACAGTCTTTAATTAAATGATCACATACAATTTTTTCTACAGGGCCTCTGCCTCCTTCAGCGCACAGGATGGATGGAGCTCAATAAATAGGTAGCTATCCAATATTTCTTTCTGGCCATGGGTGTGTGGCCGTAGGTCCTATTTACTGTACACAGTTGAATCCCTGCACAGAATAGGAATGATTAATTAAGGACTTCCCTGTGTCAATCAGACTAGTTTTACTTGTGGCCTAAACTAGGCTGGGGCCAGTGCTTCCAATGGAGTGGAAAGCTGCTTGTAAAGTTAAGGCACTGGACTTGGATTCAATTCCTGCCTCTGCCACAGATTTCCTGTGTGATCTTGGACAAGTCACTTAATTTCTCTGTCAAAGGGGGATAATGGCATGTCCCTGTCTCACAGGGGTATGTGAGGATAAATTCTTCCATGTTGGTGAGGTGCTCAAATACTGCAGTGAAAGGGGTCATGTACAAACCTAGCTAGAGAAAGGCAGATGGTAAAAGTCTAAGGCCTTTGTCCAAAGCCCACTTCTGCATTTAGTACATGCCGCACACACTTAAATAAAATGTGAAAAATGTTTGCATTTCATTCTTTAAGTAACAGAGAAAGTCAAGCTGGATGTATCGGAAAGCTTAGAATTTGAAAGCAATATTATCCTCTGCCTGCAGTACAATGATTGAAAATGACATCTTCTGCATACCCAATTAAAATACATACCTTTTAACCTTCACAACCATCGGAGATCTGTATCATTAAGACTGATTCAACAAGATGCCTTGATATTCTAAATTATTTGTATGCCTGGTATTCCAAATAAACATTTGTGAAATTCATTTCAAAAGATGTTAACTCTCGTGAAACCCGTGTGCCCCAAAGGGATTATATAAATTTCCATGTCAAATATTTGAAGCAAAGCACTTGTACAGAAACAGTGTTTTTTTGTGTTTTGATGCCTTTCATTTCCATAAACTAGATTACTTTCTGAAATTACTTTCACACAGAGAACAGTTTCTATTGAATTCCAGTCAGTGAGCTCCTTGGAGTGTGATGTGAATAAAATATCGATGAGCTATGTAGCAGCCGGTATGCATATGCATGTGTGTTGTATGAGGAGGGCAAACCAAGTTTAGATTTTATCTGTAAGAGGGTTCATAGACAGAGATTTACTGTCTTGGAGTAATTGCTAAACAACTGTTTCATTTATATCCTCACAAGAAAGCTCTCTGGATTTCTGTCTCCATCTCTTACCTGGCTAACGAGATGATCTCTCTTGTTAAGTACTGATTTGCTGGCATGCAGCTGTTTCTGGCTGTCAGGAGTTCTTCAACGGCAAAGTTTTATCTGCTTCTTGCAAACCCTGATTCTGCCAAAAAAAAAAAAAGGCTTACACACAAAAAATTGATCTGAGCCAACATTATCCATATTGTCCTCCTTTTGCCAACCCTGTGAAATGATCAAATGCCCAGGTTTCTAGAGGAGGAGGAAAGAAACACTTGAAAACGAAATTTGCCGTTTTAAGTTTTACATAAACTACTCCTAAAACCTCTGTTTTCTATCATATCTTCTGTTTAGATTATGTCGGTCTTTGTGGGATTGGCTTCTGAAGTTGTTCGCAAGAGACTAGTGGGGACAGCGGGGACATCTGTGATCAATGTTCTGCAACTCAGCCCCAAATCATGGGCTATGGGAGCCTCCCTAAAGGACACGTGTCAAGTTCACTGGGTTCAAAACAAGCCGAGTCTGCAGAACACTGTGTCTCCTATCCGAATGGCTTCAGAAATTAAAAAATAAAACCCCAAAGAGATACCATCAATCAAGGGTGGTGCATTTGTGGTTTCTAGTTATTATTTATAGTATGTGATTTATAGATTATGAGCAAAATTCTTCTTGCTGAACAGCAGTGAGGAGCCTCTTATCCTCAGTGAGGATCTTTATCATATATTTTGTGCTTGTTCAACACATGGCACTCCCATTGACATCAGTGGAAATCTCAGCTACAGAATCAGGATCAGCAAAGTGAAATCTGTCTTCTAAAACCAAACTAAACTTTCAGTCCTGTTCTAGTTGCAGCAGCGGCTGACTGCCCCCCAAAAGTGGGCAAGCAACCGCATTGGGGTGTGCAAAGATTCACTTGCATGCATAATTTAAACAGCACCCAGTCACCTGATTGGTGCTTGCAAATGTGAGCTGTGCAAACACACACATGCCAGCTGAAGATGTCAACTCACTCCATTGAGCTTAGACAGCTGTGTGCAATGAGCAAAGTCAAGCCGAATTGACCCCTTACTCTTCATCTTGATCAGAATGTCCTGCTGCAGAGTGGTTCTGCTGGAGAGAGACAAGGAACCTGCACAGATGTTCTCCCCGGGGTTCCTGCCACAACACTGTAGAGGGGTGTTTTGGTGGCAGAGCAAGAGTGGGCTGAAAGGATGGCTGGAGGCACACCCCATGGATCCATTGGTTTAACAACTCGGAAGTCACAGTTATTGCAGAACCGAACAGCCAGGAGGGGGAAGCTTTGTCCCCACCCATGAAGCAATCTTTGTACTCGGCGAGATTTATAAAGCAACAAGAGATGCCTGTCTGAACACTCTGGGCACTGCTGGCAAATACTAAACATACCCCACTTTGGGGTAAAATGCTCCCATTTTCACAGTCTCACGTCTTCCTTCTCCTCTTTTTCCATTTGTCTTGTCATCTGAAGTTGTCTGGTGGGTGGGTTCCAGACAGAGGCTCTTTTGTGACAGCAGCCGTTCGTCACCATTCCCTTTTGGACTTGTGCAGCAGCCCCCACCACATACCAAGCGGTGGTCCCATTGTGCAGCGACTAACGGAAGTTTGTGAATACTCATTTGGTATTAGTTCAACAGGAGTGTCAGCTTGTGCTCGTTTTTGGTGAAACAGAGAAAGGCTAAGCCAAAGGTGAGTCCTTTGATGTCAGTTTTTGGATGTACTTTCCTGGTTTTTTTAACAAAGCAAACTGAAATTGGGGTCTTAGAGTGTAAATGCCTATCACAGTAGTTCAGACAGGAAAAGAAACAAAGTGGAGACCAGTGAGACGGAGGGTAAATGCGAGGGAGTAAAAAAGCCAACAGACAACCACTTTGCATGGACAAAGAATGAGGGCCTGATTCTAATCTGCACTGGTGTAAATCAGGAATAACTTCATTGACATCATTGTTAGATCATCATTAGATCCTTGGGAGGATCTGTACAGAAACTGGCATGGGTACCGGAGCCAGTAATTGCAATATGGTCCAGCTCAAATGCACGTCAAAATTACTTTGGAAGATCTGAACATAAGTGAAGTCAGTGGCAGCATTTGGAGAAGCCACCCCACTGTGATGAAATTAAATATTACGCCAATGGAAAAGGCCTTTGACTCAAGTTATGGTTTTCCTGTGTATGCAGACAGCCACACTACCGCTCAGCAGACTGCGAGGCTGTGCCCTGGGTGACTTCCCCCGATCCTAAACTTGCATTTTCTCTCTCTCCAGCAAGGATACTTGACTCCAGACTGGGTGCAAAGTTCGTCTCCCATTGAGACTTCAAGCAGCAAGCTCCCGATTGGTCATTTACTGGCCACAGTGCAGTGTAGTCCCTTTCTCGGTTGTGGTGAATGCAGAGAGGACAAGCCACCAACTAAAATGAACCCTGCCTAAACATTCAGGATGGGATTCTCAAACACTATCTACATGGGCCTAACTTTGCTCCCATTGGAGCCAATGGTAAAAGTCCCATTGGCCTCACTCTGCCCCATCTCCCCCTAGGGATCCATAGTCAGTCAACATTTTCAGCGGCAGGAGAAAGATAAAATGCTGGTCCCCTGCCACTGCTAATGTAATGTCAAAATGTGAAGTAAAAGCTCAAAACTGGGCTGTGAGACATTTTCTCTCTTCAGTGTATTTCTTTAATCTGGTTAGCGCCAGTCTTCAGGGGCAGACTTTGCAAAGCCCTGATTATTTTCGGCGGTCAATCTGGTCCGAACCAGGCTGGTGGCCAGTCTGTGTGCTCCCCACACTTTCCGAGTTTGTTAATCAGATCCATGGCAGGCTAGTCTGTAGGCTGACTGTACACAGGCCATTTTAATTGGCTAATCTGGTCACTTGACAGTCTGTTGGGCAGGCTGGGGAAATCTCTACGTTGTTTTAGTTAATGTAGTCAGTGCTACCCAGTCTGCTGGGCAGTCTGATTAGCATGCAGGGTATTCTGATTAGTTAGTCAAGTCAGGGCCAGTCTTGTCTGTGTACAACCCCTATATTACTGCAGTTAGGTCAGCTTGTTGCTGGTAGGTCACCTTCAGCATTGTGAAAAGAAAAGGAGGACTTGTGGCACCTTAGAGACTAACAAATTTATTTGAGCATAAGCTTTCGTGAGCTACAGCTCACTTCTTCGGATGCATGCAGTGGAAAATACAGTGGGGAGTTTTATATACACAGAGAACATGAAACAATGGGTGTTACCATACACACTGTAAAGACAGTGATCGCTTAAGGTGAGCTATTACCAGCAGGAGAGTGGGGGGGGGGGGGGGGCGCAGAGCTTTTTGTAGTGATAATCAAGGTGGGCCATTTCCAGCAGTTGACAAGAACGTCTGAGGAACATTGGGGTATGGGGGATAAACATGGGGAAATAGTTTTACTTTGTGTAATGACACATCCACTCCCCGTTTTTATTCAAGCCTAAATTAATTGTACCCAGTTTGCAAATTAATTCCAATTCAGCAGTCTCTCATCGGAGTCTGTTTTTGAAGTTTTTTTGTTGAAGAATTGCCACTTTTAGGTCTGTAATCGAATGACCAGAGAGATTGAAGTGTTCTCCGACTGGTTCATGAATGTTATAATTCTTGACGTCTGATTTGTGTCCATTTATTCTTTTACATAGAGAATGTCCAGTTTGACCAATGTACATGGCAGAGGGGCATTGCTGGCACATGATGGCATATATCACATTGGTGGATGTGCAGGTGAACGAGCCTCTGATAGTGTGGCTGATGTGATTAGGCCCTATGATGGTGTCCCCTGAATAGATAGGTGGACATAGTTGGCAACAGGCTTTGTTGCTAGGATAGGTTCCTGGGTTAGTGGTTCTGTTGTGTGGTGTGTGGTTGCTGGTGAGTATTTGCTTCAGGTTGCGGGGCTGTCTGTAAGCAAGGACTGGCCTGTCTCTCAAGATCTGTGAGAGTGATGGGTCATCCTTCAGCATAGGCTGTAGATCCTTGATGATGCGTTGGAGAGGTTTTAATTGGGGGCTGAAGGTGATGGCTAGTGGCGTTCTGTTATTTTCTTTGTTGGGCCTGTCCTCTAGTAAGTAACTTCTGGGTACTCTTCTGGCTCTGTCAATCTGTTTCTTCACTTCAGCAAGTGGATATTGTAGTTGTAAGAATGCTTCATAGAGATCTTGTAGGTGTTTGTCTCTGTCTGAGGGGTTGGAACAAATGCGGCTGTATCGTAGAGCTTGGCTGTAGACAGTGGATCATGTGGTGTGCTCTGGGTGAAAGCTGGAGGCATGTAGGTAGGAATAGTGGTCTGTAGGTTTCCGGTATAGGGTGGTGTTTATGTGACCATCGCTTATTAGCATTGTAGTGTCCAGGAAGTGGATCTCTTGTGTGGACTGGTCCAGGCTGTGGTTGATGGTGGGATGGAAATTGTTGAAATCATGGTGGAATTCCTCAAGGGCTTCTTTATATGGGTCAGTTGTGGCACAGTCTATCTTCTTTTCCTTGAGAGCATTACTTATTTCAGTAGTGTCTAGCTATTCTGTGGTTAGAGTGGTGTGTCATTCTCACCGAGGGCCACCTTACTTGGACCTATATATATTTCAGCCTAGTTATGCTTTCCCCTATGCTAGGGATTTGAGCCTAAACACATCAAAACTAATTACAAAATACATATTGACTTCTAAAAGAGCAGAATTGTATAGCCTGATCTGTAGTTATGGGTTACTTCACCTAACTACCCACCCCAAGGTGAGGGTTTACACCTGTTGTAATCTGTGAGAATTCAGCCTCAAGAGTGACTACAGTAGAGAGGTTATTGATAGAAAGTAGGGTTGCCAGTTTTGGCTGGATTTATTCCTGGAGGTTACGTCACATGATATCATCTTTAATTAAAGATTAATCTTTAATTCCTGGAGATTCCAGGACAATCCTGGAGGGTTGGCAACCCTAAGAGAAGGGGGTACCCTATGTTACAGAATAGGGACAACACAGTGTTCTTTTTATAATAATTGCTTCTATTAGCCAACCAAACAACACTTTGCACCCTGCAATCTGGTAAAGGAAGGAGTAGGGTGACCAGATTTGATAGGGACAGTTCCGATTTTTGGGTCTTTTTCTTATATAGGCTCCTATTACTCCCTACCCCCTGTTCCGATTTTTCACATTTGTTGTCTGGTCACCCTAGGAAGGAGAGACCAACGCAGAACACACAGTGTTTGTGTTACACGCACCATGCCTTGCGGAAAAACCTAAAGTGTTAGTCCTCATCCTCATTGTCACCACCAGTGGTTGTCATCCTAGCGTTTCCCCCTACTAAGGCGTGCAGGCCGGGATAAAGCTTATATAATGTGTTACACTGGTGCCTGCTGGGTTCATGGATATTTATGAAGGTTTTAACCCCTTTTCCTTATTTAAATTTCTACACACCACTACTTTTGGGGTGACCCATTTTTCAGGTGGTATCATCAGTTCTCCTTATACCCATGAGCATTTATGTCATCTTATCATCATAGTAACAGTCAGTTACCTTAAGGAAGTCTCTAACATTTCACCCCGGCTACCAATGGTCATCTTGTGGGGTCTACTGATCTCTCCTAGACATTATTATCCAAACTCAGCAGGTATTTTCAAAACACCAGCATATCACAGACATAGTCACAAGCTCAGCAGGTTTATTATTAACTTACTTATGCTAATTTATCCTAAATCCTAAAATCTAATTTGGCTAAACTAAATATTTTACAGGCCTCAGGCCTGTAGGCCCTGTGTTACAGCATTAATGAATACTTATATTTCACCTCTATTGTCTAAA